CTGCAGCACCAGGAATTTTTCACAACGCCCCCAGCCAAGGCTTTTTATAAAGCGTCAGCTGGAGCGAGCTGCCTTACGTCGCCGGGTGTGGGAGGAGGGAGGCAGGAAGAGTTCGCTCGTGCTCCCCCCCCCACGGAAAGAAGATCTCCACAGGGTCTTGCTCCGACCATGATGCCACTGCCAAACTCCACTCCCCAGGGGACGGCTGGGTCCCTGGGACTCACCTCTCTTTGGCCACCTTCTGCAGCTGCAGGAAGTCCTTCTTCAGGCTCTGCAGCTTCTCCTGCTGCTGGGAGGCGCTGGGGGCGAAGCCGCAGGAGCTCAGCTCTGCAGCCAGGTGCTCCAGGACGGCCAGGTCCTCCTGGTGCTGCCTCATCTCCGAATTCAGTTCCTGCCAAGAGCAAAGGGCGATGCTGACGGTGCCCTGGCCAGCAGACTCAAGCAGAGGGGATGAACAAGACAGCCCTGCGTCCCGGCAAGCTGGAGAGACCCTCTGCGGGCAGCACTACGAATTGCACCAGTGCCGAACGGCGGCACGGCTCAGTCCCACCTGCTCCTCCAGCTCTGCCTCAGCAAATACTTCAAGCAGCTGGTGGGTACAAGTCCCACCTTCCCCGGCGCTGGTGTAAGGCTGTGCAGTGAATGGGACGGGGGGCACTATAGACCAAGCCAAATCAACTCCCCCACAGCACAAGTGTCCGGTTTTACACCAACTTAGAGCATTTCTGAGGCTGTGGTCAAACCACCACCTGTAGCAGAGCACTTGTAGGAAGCCAGAGGAAGGAATCCTGTGCAGCCATGAGTGGCCACCGGGATCCACGACATCTCCGAGGGCTTTGTCACATCCTGCACTGCACTTACTGCCAACACTCGGGTGTTTCGCTGTATTAACCCCGTGGAGTCTTTAATTGCTAAAACCTTGCTATATTTGGACTGGCCTCTAAGAGCCTGGCTAGAGATCCCTTCCGAAAACGAGCCTGGCTCCAGGGAAATGCCATTCCCTTCTCTCACTGCTGGAAAACAGCCTCAGCTGGTCCCTGCCACGCTCTCTTCCCCAGGCAAAGAGCCAGCACAGGTCCTGCAGATCCTGCCAACCTGGGAGTGAACCAGGTTTGGGCAAACCAGTGTTTGCCCATTGCAAAACGGCCCTGCCCTAAAACCCCAACACAGGTGGAGTCTTCTCCCCCTGCATCTCACCTGGATGTGCTGGGAGAAGTGAGCGATGTCCCGGTCCGGCTGGTTCCCGGATGCCAACATCCGCGCTCTGCTCTCCGTGAACTGCTGCAACTTCTCCGAGAGCTGCTCATACTGCTCGACCTTTGGGAGGAGGCCCTTCAGCGCGTCCTCCCTCTCCCGCTGCTGCCGGCACAGCCTGCCGAAATGCTCCGTCACCTCCGCCAGCTTGCCCTGCAGGGCAGAGGCCGTGGGGCTGTCTGCCGCCTCCATGAACCGCGTCACCATCTCACGGGTGGCTTCCAGGCAGCTCTTCTGCCTGGCGATGTCCTGCTTCAGCTTCTGTGGTAAGCACACACAGAAAGGATGCCATTTTAGGAAGGCTATTGAGCAAAAGGGAATTGGCTGCCCTTAGAAAAGAATAGTCAGGCAAGAGTAGTTTTCTATCCTGGTTTTCCCTTCCTTTCTGATCTCCCCAACCTGCTCTGCCTTTCCCCGGTGCCTGCTATCTAAGCCCTGCTTGTCAGCAGAAGAGAGACTTTCAACAGGTCTGTGCCCTGGCTTAAAGAAATTAAGTAAAGGTTCTGCTCATAGCGCTTTTTAGGGCTTTTTGTGCTTTCAGAATACTGTAGCTAAGCCCCAGCAACTCCCTGCATGACTCAGGTCCTGCAGACAGCCGCGTTTGAGGCGGGGGAGCTCAGGGACCAGCCTTACCGCACTCGTGGCAAGTGAGTCCTGGATAGAGGTGGAGGAGAGCGCTGCCGGCTGCTCTCCCTCCAGGCTCTTCTCGATCTGAGCCACTGACTGGAGGAGGCTCTCCAGGCTCTCCTGGACGCTCTGCGACTGGGCGATGGATTTCTGCAGCAGGTCCAAGCGCTCGGCCATCCGCTGGGAGAGGCTCTGGAAGCGGCTCACGATGGCATCTGCAGAGTTCAGCGCAAAGGAGAATCAGCGGCAAAAAGAGCTTCTCGCTTGCAAGGACCACGTGTGGCTCCTGCCAAACTCCCACTGATGACGAATTCCCATCCCCGAACTCGGCGGTGAGAGAGGGACCCCAACACAAACAGCCAAACTGGATCACAGCCCTCCCCATGTGCAAACGCAAACCCTGAGGACGTGTTGCTCTGCGCCTTTGCCCCACCTTCCCCAAAAGTGGGAGCCTTCACCTTTCCTCCCTCCCTGGCTGGTTTTCGCGCTCTCCCCATCCATCCCTGCTAACGCAGGCGCTGCTTTGCTCTGTACCTGTTGTTTCCTGGACGTGCCTGTGGTCTGGGGCCGGCTCCCCTTGTACGTCCAGCAGAGACCGAGCCGCTTTCTGGAGCTTCTCCACCGGCACCTGCTGCTCAGCGAGGTCTCCCTGCAGCTGCTGCTTTGACACGAGACAGGGCAAAGTCACCGGTGGGTCAGACCTTCACCTGCGGGGAGCTCGGTGCTCCGTTTAAACCCTCCTGAGGGATCCTGTTCACTTAATCACAGAACCATTAAGAAAAATAATAACGTAGGTTGGAAGGTCTGACCCCACGCCGCGAGCAGGGCTGACTTCAGAGCTGGATCAGAGGGTCTGGGCTGTCCCAGTACCCAGCCACCCTCATGGGGGAGGAATGTCCCCTCATGTCCCGCTGGGATGTCCCCTGCGGCAGTCTGTGACTGCAGCCCCGCGTCTGAGCACCTCTCACAAGAGTCTGGCTCTACCTGATCTGCAGCGCTGGGACCTGCTGAGCCTGCAGGCACATCTCTGCACTCAACCAGCAAAAAAAGAGCGAATGGATGGAGTCTCTTCCCCGCTGCTGACTTCTCAGAGCAGCAGCCAAATTCCCACACAGGCTCCAACGCTCCCCCAGGAGATCAGCCAAGGACCCCGTACCTTAGCGCTGGCGAGCTGCTCTTGCAGAACAGCTGGATCTGAAGAAACCGTCTCCGAGAGCAGTTTCCCAACGGCAGCTTCGCTCTCCTGCAGCCACGTCCTGAGAGACTCTGCCACCTCTTGGAACTGCTGGTAGTGATCCAGCAAGGTGTTCAGGTGGGAGCCCAGCTTGGTGCACTGCAAAGGAGCAACGAGAGGATGCAGACAAGCACAGAGAAACCTGGGCACCGCTGGAATACGCACAGGAATCAGCAAGAAAGAAAAAACAACTAAAAAAACCAATTTTGCCACATGTGGTAAAGGAATTACAGGAGGCAACATGCAGACTGACACCAAGACAGGGGGTGTTACTCCTACCCAAGCCCCGAAGAAGACAATTCTTGTCCTACAATCTACAAATGTGCTAGAAGTCCAGCCAGACACTTGAGAGAAACATCTCTCTGCCAGCCCTGCTTGTTCAACATGCGCAGGAAGAAAACAGCACCCGGGGTTCAACTCCCAGCGTTGCAAAGCCCTCCTCGTACCTTGGAGTGCAACGTGGTGTATCTCTGCGTCGCATCCTCCAGCTTGCTCTTGACCACGCTCCCGGACGCCAGCAGCTGGGACCCTGCGTCCCCGGCAGCTCCCTCTGCATCCAGCACCTTCTGCCCCGACATGGTAACGAACCGCAGGTCGCCTTTGTGGGAGATCACATCTTCCGAGAAGCTCCCCTGCCGCAGGAGCAGCTGCCGGAGGGCCGCAGGGTCGCTGTCGCCCTTGTACATCCCCTCCAGATCCTGCTCTGCTTGCTTCAGCCAAGCCTCAAACTCCCCGTGATCCCGCAAGAACTTCTGCAGCTCGTCCCGCAGGACTTGCACTTGCTTCAGCCGCGTCTCCGACTGCGAGAAGGAAGCCGCGTACTGGTCCTTCAGCTCTGCCAGCCGGCCCTGGAGCCGGTCCCGCTCCTCCCCAGCCAGGCTGTGGCCATGCTTGTCCAGGAAAGCCTGCGCCGACTGCGTGGCCAGGATGACGTCCTGCTGCTGGGACAGCAGCTCCTGGTGCTGGGCCTGAGAGCAAAGGCGATGCTTGCGACCAAGGGTCTCTGCCCACCAGCACCCGGCGGGTGCAGCGAGGCCACGCGTGTGACTGAGCCCCCGCACCCTCCTGCAGCACTAGCAAGGTGGGGGAACACCCCAAGGCTGGAACTCCCACAGAAGTGACCCCTTTTCTGACCACGAAGCTTCTCTCGTTACCCTGATTGCACCGTGCTGCGGCACCCACCCACCACCACAGTGTGTGTGTCCTCCAGGAAGCCAGGCAGGGACTTCCCAATCTCTGGTATGGAAAATCACCCTGAAGACGTGTTCCTCCCTGCCAGACCCATCTCACACCCCATCCTGCTCCCAGCAGCTGGAGGCAGGGTCAGTGCAGAAAGCTTTGAGAGGGATGAGGTGTCGGTCCTGACCTTCAGCCTCTCGTATTGCTCATCCAGGCTCTCGGCAGCGCTGTCTGCTCCCACGACGCAGCTGTCGGGGACGTCCCGAGTGCCTGTCCCCGCTTGCGCCCCCGGCGCTTGCTCGATGGGGTGCACTCTGTACTCCAGGAGCCCTCCCTTCTGCTCCAGTGATGCCACCCAGTTCAAAAGGGAATCGATCTTATTGCTGTTCTCCTCCAGCTCTTTGGCAGCTTTCACCTGAAGGCACAAAGGCTCCAGATAAGACTGGCCCAGTTTATGCATGTTCAGCAAACGGTTGCATGGTGGAGGGAGACAAAAATCAACAGAAGGAAAAATCCTGAACAGTTTTCCAGCCACAGCAAACATCTGAGACACTCACAGACCTCCAAAACACTTTGTGGGTCTCTGAAAGGGGGGAAGGTGCAAAGAAGCTGTGAATAAACTCAGCCCCTCTGCTACGCTGCATTTCTAACCCTGATACAACCCACCCCGAAGGACTGCAACTCCACGCACACCGGTGCGGGCATCGCACGCTCACGCTCCCATTGAAGGTTGGTCCAAAGGCAGCGCAAGGCGCCTTTTACTCCTCGCTTCCTCCACAACCAGCTCAGCTGTGGCTGCAACTCTCAAGGCATTTCACGAGAGAAATGCCTGGCGGGGGGGACACCTCACGCGGGGGACAGACAGGAAGGAACAAATTGCTTTATGCTGCATCACCCAGACGACTGCCAGGACCCCGAATGAATCCGACTGTGCTGACCGGACCTCATAGTCCACCTCAAGCAGAGCCCGGGGGGCTGCAGCTCCCCGCATGTTACCTTTTCAGTCTCCTGCTGCACTGCAGCAGTCACAGCGCTCTCCAGCTCCTTCTGGGCCATCTCCGTCCTCTCCTGCAGGGACCGGTACTGCTCCTTGGCATGCTGGAGCTTCTCCTGCAGTGCTGCCAGCTCCCCAGGCTCCATCTTCGCCTTGTTCTCCTCCAAAAACTCCTCTGTGCCTTTCAGGACGCTGGCGAAGGAGGCGGCTCGGGTGTGCATGTTCCTCTGCAGCTCCTAGACAGACGATGCCGTAAGGCTCTACACGCTCCCGAGGCAGCGCCGAGTCTCTCTGCCTTCTGATCCCTGTTTTTTTTCTAAAGCACTGACCTTAACATCGCTTTGCCTCTGCTGCAAGGCGGACAGGTCCCCTTCGCTGGCTGCTCTCTGCTGCTCGGCCAGCGTGTCCTCCGCCTGGCACAGCCAGCGGCTCAGCTCGGCCAGGCTCTGCGCCCGGGCTGCCTGCTGCTCCTGCAGCGTCTGCGGGCAGAGGGAAGGGGACAGGGGACAGTTAGTGCTGGTGCTGCACCTCCGGTCACGCATGTCGCTGAAAAGCAAGGCGAGAGGTTACAGCTGGAGCATCTCCTGAAGATGAGGATGCAGCACAGAAAGCGGCTTTGGCAGCTCTCCACGTGCTTCCTCTCCCTCTCAGGCTCGCACGCTGCGGGAACGGGGCTGAGGTGCCGAGTCCCTGCCGAGCAGGAGCTGCTCACTGCACGTTTGCCGCCGTTTCAGCAGGGTTCTCTCAATCTGCTCTTTGAGAAGCCCGTTCAGCTCCACGTGGAGCCACGCTCCAGGACCTGCACTCCTCTCTCGGCAGGGCTCAACCAGAAGTTTCTGTGCCTTTTTCATTCAACCTCAGAAACATTAAAACGGCAGCAGAAACTCATCTAATGAGAGGTGACAACAACCTGAGGTCAGGTAGCACCACTGCGGAGCCCCAAACAACCCAAGGAGGCTGGTTTTTTGATCCTGGGGTGGGAGAGGGAGCCCGGGAGAGAGAAAGCGTTTCTGGGGCTGATCCAGCTCCTCCGTTTTGCTGCCAGAGCACAATACAGAAGCGCCTGTTTGAGCAATTGAGCATGATGTGACCTGAGAGTCCCTGCAACGTTCCTGTTCCCCTTTCCTAGGGGAGATAAAGGGGTTTGAGTTTCACTGGGCATTTCAGCAAGGTGATGTACAAACTTGTGCAAAACACTGTGCTTGTTTCTCCCAGTCATAAGATAAACAACAGAAGCAAATTGAAAGAGCCTTCTTAAGAGCTCTTCAGCTGCAAAGCGAGTTCTTCTTGGGTTAGGATGGGCGCACACTCAATCTGAAAAAGCAAAGCAAACTGGTTAATATACACACACACTCCAGAAAGGACAGGCAAGAGTTACAGAGAGCAACTGTTAATAAAAACCACATTAATCCTGGCTTGAATAAGAGGATCCATGCAGTGACGGGTGCTGCAGCAATGGCAGCAGAGACCTGAGGACTTGCTTTTGCAGCTGCCCGCTGCCTTGAGACATCTGGGACAGCAATACCTGACTTGTGCAGTGGAAATAAGACATTAGAACTGCCAGGCGTCTGTGGTGGCCCCTCTGCACGGGGATTTTCTGGTGGGGTTACAGAGACCAGGGTTTATTCCACCCAGCCCAAAGCATCTCGATGACTAGCAGAGGACTGCCCGGCTGTGCTACCCACATCTCGGCAGGGCTCCGTCTTTTGGGAGGAAAGCGATTTTCTGCCTGGGAGTTACGTGGTAGGAAGAAGACAGACTTTAGAGGAAGCTCATGATGTGCAATGAGAAGTCAAACTGTGAGTGGCATGCACATGAAATCCCAGATACGAAGTGTCTCAGCGCACGTTCTTGTGGCCGGGAAGCGCTTCAGCGAGCAAACTGCGGCCAGGAAGCAGATGTCTCACAACCTTCACCTGATCCGTCTGCTCCACTTGCTGGAGACAGACCTGCAGGACCTCCACCCGAGTCGTCACGCGCTCCGACAGGTCCCGGAAAGCCTTCTGCAGCTCGTTGAGCAGCCTCAGCAGCTGCCTGCTCTGCTGAGGGGTCAGGTCCTGGGCGTGCTCAGAGATAAGGAACTGGATGTCAAAGGCAGTGGCGTCGAGATGAGACTTGGTGTCAGCGAGGGGCTCTTTCAGCTCCTGAATGGGAGAGAAAAGACCTGTCAGGCAAAATGATTCTGCAGCCAGGGCTTTCCTGCACGGCCAGCTTCAGATGGGACACGTGGACAGGCAGCAGCGTGCACCCAGAAAAAAGTGCTTTGTCAGCACAACGACATATTCCAGAAACCCCACAACGCTCCCAAAAGCACACTCAGCGTCGAGGGGACGGTGTTGCACTGCAGCAATTTTCCAACGCTCCTCTGCACCAGGCGTCCAGCACCTCGCAAGGAGGTTGCTTGGACCACACGTGTAGGGCTGCCCTTGGGTCTGAAGATGACCTGGAGCTGCCAGCAGCCCCCTCCGGTCCACGGTGACTCCGTGTGCTGCCACTGGCTCTCGAAGCCTTTGATCCCCTGACTTCAATGCCAAGGTGCTACCAGCAAACAGAAGATGCTGAACTGACCAAATCTTGAAAGCTATAGCTGGAAGATGAATAAATGTGGAGGGGAGCCTGGGCTTCTCATACAGTTGATGAAGACCAGGTCAGGTGTGATGGAGGAAGCAGCTCTCTCTTCAACAGCCTGACGGGAATCCCTCCCCGGTGCTCAGCCCCCACCACACACCTGCATTTGAGCACGTTCCCCAAACAGCCAAAGCAGATTGTTCGTGTATGGTGGAAACAAATGACTTTGGAGCAAAACCGATATTGTTGCTCCTCCTGCAACACAGGATAAGGGCAAACCCTTGGTAGGCTCCAGGAGGGAAGCAGGATTAAAAGCTTCTCCTCCGCGCAGAGGACAGCAACTTCATCAGCCAGAAGGATTAGGGGCATTGCCATGGTTACCTTGTAGTGTTGCAGGCAGCGACTCAAGCTGTTCGCATCAGTCGCGTGGTGGTAATCGCTGCCGTCCAGCGACTCTGCGGTGCCAGAGACCCAGCTCAGCAGATCCTGGAGTTTGCCCTGGAGAGTCTCGTGATGTGCCAGGATTTTAGCCTTAAAAAGAGAAACGCATCATTTAAAGAAGGAGCAGAGCACTCCAGGGAAGGCAAGTTGGGATGCTCGGGGGGCAGCGGGGACAGTTGCCAGCTCTACCTTTTCGGTTTCTGCCGCCCCGCGAAGGTTTTGCATCCGGGACTCCAGGACATCACTCGCAGAGCTCAGAGACTTCTGGAGGTTCTTGGCATCCTTCTCCAAAGCCTTCAGTAATTGCTCAGGGACTTCTTCAGGGGGGTTGGCCACAATCCACTTCACGGCGTCCAACTCCTGATTCACTGGGAAGCTCAGCTCCTGCAGCTCAGCGCCCAGGGCCTGAGGCAAGACAGCATCGTTATGTCTAAGATACAGTGACTTCATCTTCCCACTGCCAAAACTGAGGAAAGATTTTGGAGACCCAGCTCCAAACACTGCGTCTATCTCCTAGAAGATTCATTCCCATCCTCCAGCCCCGCTCAGCTGCCAGCACTCGCTTGTCTTTCTCCAGGCTGTAAAATTCACTTCAGCCAAGCTTAGGTTACTGTCTAAGCAGGGAGAAGAAGGTGAGCCAGAGGCAGTGCCAGAGCTGGGAGGGATGAGTTTTGCATATAAATGCCTGTTAAACCTGAGACTAACCTCCCCAGCTGGCTCCCAGAAGCAGGGGAGAGGAGGGACGAGCTCTGTCCTGCCTAACGCAGGCCAAGCCTGGCCAAGCCTGGCTCACCTCTGCCTGCTGCAGCAGGTCATGCAGGGCTGCCAAATTTTGCTCTGCTGGTTGGACCCGCTTGATTCTCATCTCGATATCTCGGAGCATGGAGAGATAGGATATCAGCTTCTCATCGTGCTCCAGACACATCTTCTTGCTGAACATGATCTACAGAATCAAGCAGTAAAACAAACCCTCAGATTTAGACAGAAAAGAAAACAAAAGATTATATATTATTCTTTTTTCAAAGAAGAAATCTGTTAATAACATTCCATTTCAGGGACTTTCCACTCGCTAGCCTTATCTGCAAGATTTACTACAGGAAAAATAAAACGTGGCTCTTTTTTCCAACATAAGCTTATAAATGGCAAGAGATCTCTGGTGTTACAGTAAAAGTGCCAAAAAAGAGTCCTACTTATTAGTCATTTAGAAGTAATGCTCTAGCAAAAAGAAGCCACAACTAAGCCTTGAGTATTTTCAGTCATACGTCAGTGGGTCCTCTGCCAAATCCATTGCAGCTGATACTGCAACATCAAGCTCAAAAATCTACTTCTCATGTTCTGGCTGTCCTCTGTGCTGAGGACCTAAGACAGATTTAACATCAAACACACACAAATAGATCGTTTAAAAAAAAAAAAAGAAAAAAAAAAGGGTGAAATAGCAAAAAGCATCAATTTACCTGGGCTGGTCTCATGGATTCCCTCGAGGTTTCCAGCAGCTCCCCCTCCACTATCACAGGTAAGAACAAGCCCCGATCGCCAGGACCCGGCTGCCTGCTCCTCTCCTGGGGTGCTTCTCCTTGGGATTTTGGGGGGACAGGGGCATCTCCTTGGCCTGTGCTCATCTCCACTCTTTGCTCTCGCTGTGTCTCTTCTCCAACCTCAAGGACTGCAGAGGTTTCCTGCACCTCTCTGGGTTCCTCTCTGATAATTAATTCATCGGGCAGTTCGCCTGCGGCAGGGGCTGCACTGGACATATCACTGGTGGTTTCCACCTTGGTGTTTTCCTGTGTCATCCCCTCCTCTGGGCTAAATGCCACCGAGGAATCGTGATAATTTCTGATCCCACCTTTCATCACCTCTCGAGCTTCCCCTTGTCCTGGTGGGACAGGGAACACCTGACCACCAGCGAGGTTTTCTTTATCCTTCTCAGAAATTAGCTTTTCTTTTTCATCCCTGTTGCTCTCTGTGTGCTTTCGCTTGGCTGCATCTCTTGCCAACCTGGCAGTAATCTTGGTGGTGGTTTCATGTTTTGGTTCTGGTGTGCTTGACACTAAGTCCTCTTCCTCCTTCTCCTTCCTTGGAATTTCTTTGGAAATCAGAAGAGGAAGGGACTGCTTTTCTGCAGAAGATTTCTCCAGCTGAGTGCTGTCTCCTGGGATACCAGTCTGCTTTGCTTTTTTCTTCTTGCTTTTCTGTTTTTGGGTAGCTTTTAGCTCAGATTCACTCGTTTTTTCTTGATCAACTGGATCTTCTGCACCCAGTCTTGGGGTTTTTTCTTCCATGTGCTTGACAGTTTTCTTATCTGCAAGCTTGTCTCCTGCAGGCTTCATAGGGATGATAACCTCAGGGGGTTCTGCAGACTCTGCAGGAACAGATCCCCTCGGGGCAGCCGGTGTTACCTGGTCCGGGCTGCCCGCTCGCTCTCCTTGCTCAGAAGCCACCACTGCACCTTCTTCACCGGCCACAACTCCCT